GCGCGTTGGATATGAGATGATAGATAGCCAACGAGGCGCGTAGCGCCGAGTTGGCTATAATCATCTCATATCCAACAAGCGCGAGTGGAATAATTGTTTTATTAAAAACGCCCCCAAGAAATTATTATTTTGTAAGAAGAAAATGGATTTTTTAGCTCCCTTTTGATTTTAAGCTCGCGCGTACGCTTACCATATTTGTAGATTATGGTATATTGGCTGATATACCATAATGGCTAAGCCAATAAAAAGTCTTGAATTGCATTATCCAATGATCCAGTTTTTAATAATTACTTTTACAACTGGCTCTTATGACTGGTAGATCAAAGGCTTTTAAAAGCTTGCGAAATTGACTCAAATCGGTTGATCCTTTAATATAAGAGGGAAACTGATTCCACGTATGCAAAGCCTTATATGTGAAGGAATTGTGATAATATCGATTATCGTAGGACGGTTGAGTGAGATTGTGATCGCTGTTCCTTAAATTGTAGCGCAATATACGAGGTTCGAATAAATCAGAAATATAGTCAGGCCCATTAACTTTTACACATTTAAAAAGGAGGACAGGAGATTGGTAATATCGTCTGTGTTCCAGTGATTGCACATTTAAAGCAGAGAATATTGAGTCATAATCAAAGCTATTTCCAATATTTAAAAGGACTTTTAGGGCATAAAAGTTTGCATATTCAAGTTTCTTGTTCAAGGTTTTGTTAATTCCTAATAGTAATGGACTACAATATTCAAGGTGTGGAAGTATATAGGCCTTGTAGAGCATTAATGAGATATCAGCTGGGACAAGCTTTTTAAGACGTCTTAGAGCTCCGATCTTGGCATAGACCTTCCTTAGCATAGTCCATAGGTGGTCTTTAAAAGAGATAGCTTATCATCCAAACGAACACCAAGGAGATTCGGGAAGCCACCAATTTTGATGACGGTGTCGGCAATATAAAGAGCAGGTTCATGAGTGTGTTTACCCAGGGTCATAGCTTGGGTTTTCTTGCTGTTGACGAACAAGTAATTTGAAGGAAACCAGGATGAGAGGTTTTTAAGATCTTTGTTAAGAGACAGTTCCAATGCAGAAATGTCTGTGTTGGACACATAGGCTGTAGTATCATAGATAGAGCCTCAGAGAGGTTAGCTGAATAGAAAAATTTAGATCGTCGATAAACATGTTAAATAGGAGTGGCCCCAGAAGGCTAACTTGGGGAACGCCGCAATACACCGGTAACCAATCCGAGAAAACTCCGCCCCTTCACTCTTTGCTTGCGACCAGACAAGTAAGAATACAAGAAGCCAATTGCCTCCTCATCAACGCCATATGAGCGCAACCTCGTTCCCAGGGCTTTTCCTTTTTTGCCCGCCAAAATATTCAAAAAGGGAAAAGCCCTGGGAACGAGGTTGCATATGAGCGCACAACTAATGATCAAATAATGATATGCGCATTTGGGGTGTTAGTTATTCGCGGTTTTGAACTTGTAACTGCTGTGTTGAAGTGTTAAATAAGTGTTTTTAACCTGATTTTCGTTATAACAAGTTTGACTGGTAAAATGATTGAAAAAAGCCAAAAAAATTACTGAACAAAACAGGAGAAACGATTCGAACAAGTCACACACGTCTATCATGAAAAACAAGTAAAATAGGTCAAACGAGTCAAACAAGTCAAACAAGCCACTTACTTGGTGAAGGTGTCGGACAGAGCTCACCAACAAATCCACATGGAGGTCTGTCTGCTGGAGGAGAAGTCCGCTGATCATACTCGCACCAGCTGATATTAATCCCTGAAAAAAGCTCAAGAAATTGATTTCCGCTCGTCTCGTTTAGCTTAAACTCGCCAACGGTCTTCATTTCTGCCGATAAAGCAAATAGAAACCAACAAATAGGGTTTTATTGCTGCAAACTTACAATTTTTGAATGAGGTTCTTTAAAATGTATTGGATCGTCAGCGTAGAAAGTTGTTTTATAGCACCTAAAGCTGACATTCTTGCTAAAATATAAACCTGCTAGGGAAAGATGAAACCACAATTGAAGCTTGAGTTATTTATCTGGCTGTTCCATGTTTAAAATCATTCAGTGAGCTAGTTTCATAATGGCAAAGAAGAGCTGCAAGGAATGTTCCTTTGGTTTTTGGCCAATCAGAGAGTCGAATTTCAAAAAACAGACCAAACGGAAAGGGACCAATCAGTGCGTGACCACTCATGGTTATTCATAATGCGAGAAGAGAATGTGTTCTGTGATTGTTTCATTTTGGAAGCAATAGGTGTTAAAGAACGATTTGTTCTAATATCACTTGTTTCCCGCCCTTTTGTGGTTTTGCCGCTGGGGACCGCGAGCTACGTACTCTTTTTTTTCCTGTATTGGCCATCGTCGTTTTGTTATGTTTTGAGCTTTAAATAAACTATTTTATTTGATTACTTATTCCTGATTATTCAACTGTCTTTTATCGAGTACAATAGGCTGCAATCAATCACGAATCTGGTGTTTGGTAGAGAACTCTATTGGTTAGCAATTTACTTTTCTTACCATGCCCATCATTTGCATTTTTGAAAAATTCAAGAAGCGTCATGTTAAATTCAACGTCTCCATTTTCATCCAGATGTAATTGAAATCCGGTGATACCTGGTTAAAGAACGAGGAGAAAATTTATTTTTTCTTTAAGTATAGAGGTCAATGGAAGTCCTGAAAAAGGCTGACGTCGATTACAGGGCCTTAGCCAGTCTATATTCGTGTTTAAAGGATCAAGCTTAATTAAGGCACGTGTAAAAAGATTAAGACACAAATAGCAAAATCTAACTTTCAAAATTTGTTCTTCTGATATTCTTAAACACGGCAACTCCATCTCTAGGGCTCTGTCCGTTGGAAATCGTCTTATTCAGCGCCAACGCGTACAAATACACGGCGTCATACAAATACGCCGCATAATGAACTACCTGTAATTAAAAAATAAATAGTTAAAAGAGTAATTTACAATGACAGAAGGTTCTCTCGGTCACAATGAAGGAAAATAGATAGCTAGATAGATCAACTTTATTAAACATGCTAGCCTATCATCAACGTTATAGAAAGCTGGTTTTCAGTAGGGGTGTGAACTAAGTATAAAAGTTAAAAAACTACGTAAAATGTACGTAAGACATTAATTATTCAACTCAACTATGTAGTCAAATACCTACAATGCGTAGTAAAGGTCACAGCACGCTCAAGCCCTTTTTTGAAAAATTTTTTTTCCTTTAACTTTCATTTATCTCCCCCGCCGCTCTGCCCCATGCAATGTTACCCGGAGCTGGTGTTGGTGTTAAAAAATGGTAACCACCTGGTTACATTGTTTGGGGGGGAGAGGAGGAGGGTAGTATTTTAAGAAACTTGATAAAGGCCGGAATTAAAAGATTTCTGTTTATCATATTACCACTTACTAAGGGGAGGGGTGACATTTACTGTAGCACTGTGTCAATAATATGATTTTGCAATTGTAGTAAGGGCAATCCTTGTACATCTCAGAGGGCTTTTAAAATCCTTTTTTCTAGCGCTAAAGCCATACTATAAAATCAAAACTTGAAGCTCAGAGGTCTTCCTCTGAATTGATTTTTCTGAAGCACTGTTTACGATTCTGGATTATTTTAGATTCCCATACAATCGGAACTTTGACGTCCTTTCTCTGGCAAATCTCTTGATAACGTTTAGAGTTATTTACATAGTATCAAACAGTGGGATTCTTAAGGTTTTTCCTTCTTCTTCTTCTTTTTTTTTTTAAGCGTTTGAAAAGAAAACGCGAGTCGTGATGAGCTTTTATCTCTGAGGTAACTCTGTTATGAGAAATAACAGAATCTTGCAACGAGTAATGGATTTGTTTTGCGACACCTTCCCAAACTTACTTGGTCCTGGGTTGTGTCTTTCGTCTTTTCTAACACACGCTGCTGGAACTTTTTGTACTTAGTACCATTGAAAGGTCTGGGCACTAATGTAAGTACTGAATGCCAGGCCCTCTCGGCCTCGACCTTGTTGATCTTTCCACTGATTCCTGTCCACCAGTACTCTGTGTTCTGATGCTGTTGGCCAATCACAGAGTTAGCTGTGCTGATGATATACACGTAATCACCATTTGTCATCCCTTTTTTTTGAGCGCGGACCATGAATGGAGGTGCATATTCAGGATTTGCAGCGATTACTACAACTAGAAGAGATTTTAAGCCACAACATATTGAAATTAATGGCAAAAAAAAAAAATTAAAAAAAAAGGTGAAATGCTGTTAAGCCCTTTTACCACAAGCCTCTATAGTTTTGCTTGAATGGAGTCTGTTTGCGAATTGAGTTTTGGTTTCCGCACGCAGTGGAATAACATTTTATAAATGAGTCAGTCCATTTTTCTCCCACGATCAGGACTGAGAAGCTTATCGAGATCAACGGTATCGACATGGTGTTTCGCTAAAGAATTTGTTGAAAAGTCACTGCAAGATCTCTCTCCCCTCTATTTACATCCTGACTGCATGGAGCAAGCTCGAGAAAAGAGCATTCATAAACCGCTTCTAACTGTGCTTGGGACCGAGGATTATTGAGTTGACTTCCATTCTCTAATCTTGAAATTCAACCCCAGTACTTATTGAACCTCATAGCTGTATTCATAATTTCGCTAACAACAGCAGCTATAATAACTTCCCCTCTCGACCCCTGCTTTCAATCCTAGTTCTAGTTATCATCTGATCTGCTTGCTGATAGGGGAACAGAGAAAGCATTGCGTGACCAGAGAAGGCAACTGCTGTGACGGAGATCAACATATCAGACGTTTTTAGCTAAAATAAAAGTTGGAAGTGTGCTTACTGCGAGCCTTTACTTTGATTTCCTCCAAGACTTGGTCGAACCTCTCCTGCTGGTGTTCCTGTGGCATTTGAACCTCGTAAGTGACTTCAATGTCGTTTTCTTCAAAATATGTCTTCATGTCCTCTTTCGTCTTGTCCCATCGCTGCTGACTGAAGCAACTACCATCACAATATATGATGGCCACTCGTGCCCAGGAAAATTTCCTCAGCACAGCCAAAATACTTTTGCTTAGCTGCGAGTTGGGAGGCCTGGTGCGAGCGAAGGTTGGGTAAAGAGATTTATCGGAGACAACGTCTTCATTACAGAACTAAAATGGAAAGTCAGTCATAAGCAGTTAGCGGAAGAATTAAGCATTTATCTGTAACAGATCATTTTCGAAGAACGAGTGAAAATAACCTTGCCTTGAGGCGCTAAACATTTGACTTGTACTCAATCTATTAACATTACCGTATCAGTCACGTAACAAAGCACATCAGCGAGTTTCGATAATGCTTTTTATTACATCTATTTTGAAATCACTGGTGGTCCCTGCAATCTGATTGGCTCTAATTGGTGCGATTTATTCACGAATCGCACCATTTTTTGCTCTAAATCGCATCATTTTACGCTTGACTGAGTTTTTGACATATGACGTCAAAGTCTTTCTGTTTTGCATACAAAATAAGATGTAAAAGCGTTTCCGGTTCTACTTTTTATTTAAAAAACCGGCTCAGTACTGGATCGGTAAAATATTTGAATTGACCAAGTCTGGTATTTGGGCGATTTCAAGACGCTCGAAATGTCAGCTTCATTATCAACTCAGCCTGGATCAAACCAAATTGTCTTGTCTTGTGATACCCCCCACCGACGCAGCACCACAGTTTCTTTAGAAAGTTACCTCTGTTATTTAAAGTCTTTATGCATCGGAGAAAATATTCAGATTACCCAGCCCGGTATTAAAAAAAATGATATAAATATTTCATCATTCATTAGGCAACCATAAAAAAAAAAACACGTCATAGAAATCACTATAGTACCGTTAAATAAACCTGAGGTTGTCTTAGTTCTTCCTGATAAACTAACGTTATTAGGTTCCATATACTTATCCCAACGTTTGTTTAAACTAACAACATGAAATTTTGTGCGATTACCTCGACCTGTTCATTCAATACGTTTAATTTGATGGAACATGAAATGACTATATTAAGACTTGAATGAATATCGTGAACGTAAGAGCTCGTGCAAAAAAAATGCCATTTTCTTTTAACAAAACATTTTTTGAAGGTTGTCAGCGCCGAGTAAACTTACTTATCAGCTGTGAGGAAATTAAGGTTGTGCGTTGTTTGGACAGCTTTACAGCGTAAATTGTGATAATTTTTCAGCTCAGTAAATAGTGAATTGATAGAAAGAGAGGCATTGCAGGTGGCATAATACACTGGCTCGCTGTGGCAGACAGAAAAATTAATCCCCTTTGACTGACTTCTGGCATAACTCTAAGCGGTTCGGATCAGCTCACGAAAGCCAATTTAAATGCAGTGTTAAAGAGAATTTCTGAGAGCCGATTACATCATTGGTTATTGAGCAAGTCTTGTTGGATACACAACACATCCTTTCTGACAAAACTTAGCTTAGCGTCTTTCGTCTATTTAGTTTTTCGGCTAATTCCGGCAGAGAACTGACGGTGTGTTTTGAAGGTAAGTAATTGCCTATTTTCCCAAACCCCTAATTACTTATTTGAAGGGAAAAGTTATATGGGACAGTGGCAGTTTGTAGGAGATGCATTTGCGTAAAAAGAGACAATACATTATATGGTGACATTACTCCTGCGAAAGACTGATACAAAGAGGACGACAGGATTGAATTGCAGATATTGTTACACTGAAAGCAGAAAACCCGATCCCACAGTTGTGTTCTTTCCGCCATTGAAGAGAAGGTAGCTAAGAAAAAAATATCGTTACATAATTGAGGATCAAAGGAGATGCGGGGAAACTTTAGGGCTCATCGGTTAAAATTATTAACCCAAGGTTTAATGAAGATAGTCCCTGTTTGTACATCGCAAATAATTTCGTAATACGTATAATCTTTTTTTTTATTTATCGTGGTAATTTTCTGTGGATCATTATCTTTTTGGTATTTCTTTCCCAAGCCATCGGCTCATATCTCATGCATCTTCAATTAAGACAACAAATTTGTAGGGCCTAAAAAACGCAGCGAAATTTCGCATGCATGTCAACTCCTCAGAGACTTGTAGATACCTCAATCTCCCCTCAGGAAAATCACCGCACCCTCACGGCCTTATATGGCTTAAAGTAGCAAAACTTACGTAAGAAATGATGGGAAGATTCCAGGCTGCAGCGACGCGGGCTGAAGTGGCACAGTAAGTCTCGTTTCCAGGCCCGATAAAAACTTGAACTCCGCGATTCTTGTGCTCGGTCATGGCCTCGATAGCAACCAGCTCACTGCATCGCGTATCGTTCAAACGATACGATATAGTAAAGTTGAAGGTGCTGCTGTTGTTTATGGTCTCGATGGCCACAAGGAAAGCGGAAGCGAATGGGTTATCGGTGGTAATCAGCTGCTCACAGGACGAGTAAGGGTAAAGCAGCACAACTGTGACATTTTCCGTGTTGGATTGACTGTTCGATTGAATTGCTGCCATGTGCAGAAGAACCATGAGTATAACAATATTATTAAACTGCCAAGTTGCCATTGTAGTTAGCTCTGTTGTGATCACTTCTGCCTAGTATTTCACTTCTGAGCTCACTTGAGTTAATACTACTATAGGAAACTCCACCGCACTTCGACATTACTCTGACAAGTGATCCTTGTAATTTAAAGAAACTATTCAGTCATCAAGCGCAATGTTTACCAACGAAACGCGTTATTTCGACGTGCAGCTCCATTAGACATCCGAATTAAGGCTGATCCGTGAAGCATAAATTACACACAAGGGAACCGACAACTCTGTCAACCGTCGAAATTCATCCAAACGCCATTGGTCAAGAGATTCACTCTTGACATTTTCATTGAATGTTAATGCATGGATGCTCTGAATACTCAGTTGTGTGTTTGGACTTCAAAAAACATTTACTTTTGTTTACTCTTTAATTCAGAAGTCAAAGTACCTCTTAACGAAACGAAGATCTCATACCAGATTAATCTCCAGGAATCATTTGGCACTCAATTTTAAATGACTTGTACGCGATCAACTTGAAACTTGAACATCCTAAGCCTATCAACTCAGTTCTTAACGGAAGTCGGGTGAATGCAAATTTCGATGAGTTTATTTAAGTGATAATCATTCCATAACTCTCAAACCTCGACTCAAAAAATTTTAATTTAGTTCCAAGATCTTTCAAAGTTATTAGCACCATAGCCTGCCTTCGGTCTCAAAATATCTTAAAATTTCTTTTGCTATATACTTATTAGACTATGTGGAGCCCTTCTTTTTTGCGTTTGAAATCATCATCATGCCAAATTCAATTGTCAAGCTGCCAATATTAGCTGATGATAGCTAGTGAGGACAAAACAACGGAATATGGGGAGGGGGGACAAAACAACGGGATACGGGGAGGGGGGACAAAACATCGGGATACGCGGAGGGGGACAAAACAGCGGGATACGGGGAGGGGGACAAAACAACGAGATACGGGGGGGAATAAAACAACGGGATACGGGGAGAGGGGACAAAACAACAGGATACGGGGAGGGGGAAAAACAACGGGATACAGGGAGGGGGACAAAACAACAGGATACGGGAAGGGGGGACAAAACAACGGGATACGGGGAGGGGGTGAGAAGCCGACGGGAGGAAGGAATTTTGAGTCACTCGAAACACTTTTAATTAGTAATCTAATTGGTAATTCTCCCTTTCGGTAAACTGCAAATCGGGTTATAAAATCTCTTATCATATGTCGATAACAGGTAGTAGCTGATAAGTTTGTTAATTCATTTTAGCTGTCGGTTAGGTAATTTATTGTGTTGATGCTTAAAGAAGAAGTTTGTTGATGATCACCTTGGGCCACGTACGCCGGGAGTCATATGAAATTCTTTGAAAGATAACGCTAAGGAAATTCGTGTGCTTGACGCCTGGGAAAATGTCTCGTTAAATTGGAAGTTTCTGTACCACGTTTGCTTTGGGATGAGGCTTCAGGATAAGTACTACGTCACGGTTGTTGAATCTCGAAAAAGTTCAACAGATTTTCTGATCATTTGCTATCCGTTCGATGTTTGGCATCCCAAGCTATCGCCGGTTTATAGATCCGTGGTTTACTTTTGCATCTCACTTGTTTGTCTTCTCAAGCAAATCGCTAAATATATTTTTAAGCTTCAGCTCTCTATTCAAACAGAAGCATATGTTCCTAATCTGGCGGCTGTTTTAATGCTAAATGAATCCAAACCGTGACGTAGACGTTTGTCATATAAATTAAATGGGAGCCATTACAAAACCACATACAGTATCCGCAGTCATCACCTCGACGCTTCTCAAGCTATTTTGCTAAACCATATTATTGAATTTTCATTTAGCTATTGGCTCAGTTTTCGCAAAGCTTCAATGCAAACATAAAGCTTTTAGTTTCTAGTGGGCTTAATGACTCCTAAAAAACGGGAATAAATTATTCTTTTAGTTCAACAAACGCGGATAGGTTGCAAGAAGACGTTGTGATCCCTAACACGCTGTGAACGCGAAATCGGCTAATCATATCCCTCCTTGTTATTCATCCTTAGTCGAATTGCGTCTTTAAATATTTTGTCTTTAATCAGTCATACGATATCTAAATATTGCTTTTTTACCAATTCTTATTTCGAAATCAAGCAACCTATTCGCCATTTTAATGTCAATAGTAGTAATTGCATTTGAATATTTTAAAAACAAACTTATCGTTGCAGTCATCAACACTACAAACTCAAAATATCTCGTCGCACGCTCTTTCGCAACCATTTCAAGTACGTTTAAGTGAAAACTCGGACTTTGCTCGTCTAGTTCCTTTTCATGGGAGCTTCTGACTTTTCTCCAAATTTTTTCCGATATCTATGACGTATAGCTAAGTATATTTTTTAAATTCTTGGAAAGGAATCAGGTCGGTAAATAAAACAATCGATATCGCTAAGTTTTGTCACCTGTGCGTTTCGCACTGAATTGCTTTGTAATTGAAAATGGACATATTGTTGTCTTCGAGTTTATCTCCTTTAGAAGATTTCGATCTCGAGTTAAATTTACTTTAACAAGGTTTTGGATATGCTATGCAACTATTACATCAGGACCTCAACAAGTTAAAGCAATCTAAAAGGTTTTATACCAATATATTATTTTCGTGATCGGAGTTGTGCTTTCTTTTCAAAAAGGTGAGAAAAAAAAATAAAACGTAATGTTTTGATACTTCAAACGTCAACATAATTCATATTTATCGGTTTGTATATTTTCACTTTAAAAGCCTCAAGTCGATAACTTATTATCATTTAGCGACTTATCGCCATACCTCTCTATCCGACTGTCGGTTCATATTTGCGCTCCACAATAACCAGTTGATTTTTCCGTGAAATTTGTCAAGAATCTGACGTTTCATAAGAAGTTGGGAATTCCTAGCAAGAGGTTTACGATACCAAGGAGTGACTCATGTACTACTGAGAAGACTTATGGTTTCGATAAGCCTTTAGGAAAGCTATGAGAAGCTTAAGTTAATGAAAATCACCTGCGGAACTTAGCGAATCCAACTTTCTCTAAGGTAGTCAAGAGGGATCAACGTTGCTTACTTTTGAACATTGCAAGCTAATATTTTAAGTACAGAGTCGAATCGAGATTCTCAGAGAACGAACAGAATTGTGTTTACAATTAGCTGTTTTTACAGACCCGCGGCGAAGCGGTATAACTATCTAAGGAACCAAAATAGGATAGAAAAAAGATTCTGGTGAGTTTTGCACTGATCTTAGGATTTACATTAGGAGCGCGGATATAATTATTCAACGATTTTAAAATTTCCTTCATTTTAGGCGCTGCTTCGAAAGAAGAATCTTACGACCTTGGCATAAATCATCTTACGGGCGGAAACACATCCAACTCTTAAGGTAAAGACGACTATAAATTTCAATGGAAGATATATTTGCGAACAGGAAGAAACAAACGAACACTCAAAGAAAGGCAGCAAGGTGTACCAAAATGCTCAAACTGGTGATAACAATTTATTTTCATGACTAGTTTTGATGTAGGCCTATCAAGCTCGCTGAAAGAGGCATTTTAGCTGCTCCTTTCTCCTGAATGAGCTGTGCCAGACTATTGCATGTGGTTCTTTAAATTCAGAGTTTTTCCACCAAAGCAGAGAGCGACACAACCTTCGCTCCCATCGGCCGTAAGAAGCCGAGCTGATTAATTCATAGTTAAAGATCTACCGCCAAAGGATAACGTACTACTTAAACGAATTTCCTTGGATTAAATTTATCGGTGTTAGCCCAACGAAACTTTTTTACCGCTAATAGGTCAGCATTTACCATTTTCAGAAATCACTTACCAATTAGATGAAAAAGAATCTTTACCCAAGCATTACCATTAGCCTTTGGAGAACATCGCCGAAACGTGTGCATCAAGACCCTCTTTCCCATGCAAATTACCCATTTAAGGCTTTTCATCTGAAACGTCAAAGCAAAATTGCTTTGACGAAAGCCGCAACGCTCTCCATCACGCTTTTGTACTCGTTAAGAAAACTCTGTACCATAAAGAAGTGTTCAAAGACATAAGGCACCAAATCGGGCCTTAGTCTCCAGGTAACGTTTGTGACAATACAGATTCCTGTAAATTCTCTTCTTTAGCGTGTTACTGCTAATATTCGGGCCAAGAGGAAGCTGTATAAGGTAGTTTCTTTGATTTTTTAGTTTTGCCCTGTTTTTTTTTTTTTTTTAGTTCATTAATATCTTTTAGGGGAGTTTCAAGACTGAGTTACATACGTACCCTAGATCATGACTGTGGAGTCAATAATTTAGGTTTAAAATGTAAATACAAACTGGTGGTTTTTTTTTTTCGAATGTACACAGATGGAAGATGTTAATTTGAGTTCATCCTATTAAACAAAAGAAGGTCAACTCACAAAAATTCAAGGGTAGTGACAAGAATCAAAGCAGATTGATACCTTTCCCAATAGGTAGGGTAACTTCATTTTACCTATTACCCCTCGACCCTTACTTAACACCGAGATATTTTTCTTAGACGGACCGACTTCGGCTGGCAAATGACTTGTTTATTTCCCACCCCCCGGTGAATTGATTTATAATGGATTTTTGTATACATAACAACTTTATTTGCTTAGACTTTGTGCTTCACGGCTGAAACCGTTGGCAAGTTGAAAAACGAAAAACAAAAAAAAAAAAAACTTTGCACGATCAGATCTGAGTAGCTTAGCGCTAAAGCCGCATGTTGAATTGATCGGATCAATCCTTTCGTTTCACTACTAAGATCTTATTAGTAATTCTCCTGAGTTTTAGTCCACAGTTTTGGAATTTTAAAGCTTTGAGGGTTAAAATTCCCTGCACATGTAGTATACACTTAAAATACTGGTCTACTTTTTTTGCCAAGAGGTCCTTTCACCTTTCATTGTGAGCAATCATTTGGCCAAAATCGGTGCCCTGAACAAAATTTTTCATCTAAGCTCTTGCCTTAGTTCACGCGAGCAACTTTCTTATGAGGCTTGTGATAAATATTTCATAAGATCATTACAAGGGGTGACATTTGTTCAAAAAAGCTGAAAAAAAAAAAACCAAAACAATACAAAACATCATCATTATTATTGAAAACAACAAGCTAATTGATGCAGTCGCGCCACTGGGTGCCTACAAAACCTAAAGCAGTCTGAGTTTTTCTCGTTGCCATGTTTCTACCAATAACGTAGCTCCATTTTCTGCCTTTAAAAGCACACACAACCCACAATTCCTTTATTCGCTCCGACGAAGGGCTAACGCTCGAAACGTCAGCTTTTGTAATCGTTACGGTGGCCAATTTACCATTTCAACTTTGTTGATATATCCAAATTATTTCGTTACTCCCACCGACGCAGCCCCAAACAGTTTCTTTCCAAACTATCAGCCTTTATTCATGAGTAGGATTGAACTGGCCCTTTTTACCAATCTTGAAAATTTCAATTTTTTGCCCTATCAACTGGTTTCTCTTCCCTGACTCTATAAACACCTTCTTGCAGTGTTGTATCTTGCACGAATTTCAATTTGGTCTAGGGATAAATTTCTTAGGTCCGATGATTCGCATGGCTTCGCTTTAATTTGTTTCCTCCCATAATCCGAACGTCTGTCGGCAATTCTTTCATCTTGGAGTTAGAATAGGAAGAGAAACAAAAAGCATGTTAGCTTGATCTTACGTCCGACCTGATATGTTTACAAATTAAAGTAGGAGCATAAATATAAAGCATGAATACAAATTGAATACAGGTAGGGTTTTTTATTCGCCAGCAATTTTTTTTATAGTTATCAGTAAACTATATGACAATATATAAATGGGAAGATAAAATAATAATAAAAAAAAAACGTTCGCTTCAAACCACATTTTTAGTGAGAGCACAGCAGAAGAGTGTAATAATGCTCTTCAGTTTGCACTATTCTGATAATACATTTTCTGAAATAACCAATCTCCTTTATCACAGCACGAGTTTACTGCTTAAAGAAAATGAGATGTGCAAGATATGGCGAGGAAATTAGTTAGTAGCAATTACTGAGAATTAGGTCAGGTTTAAAAGTCCAATGTTTGGATATTGATAAATATTTTTTTATGTTGTTAAACTGAAATAGACTTCTCTCGAATGCGAGAAAATCGATTGAAATTGCAAGAAAAAGACCCCTTTTTGCTTACTTTCAAGGCCTGAATAAACTTACACACACATAAAAGGTCATAAAAGATTTCTCTACTGTTCTGACAGCGTTTTCCGCCCACATACTGTTTAGTTTATTTCTAAAATTATGATCAGTCACCATAAACGTAGATCATCCGTAACACCACATCGACTTTTATTGTTTACATTCTTCAAAGTTCTTTAAATGACACATGCCACATTCTGTGTCAGCAGAGGATCGCGCTATATCTCCATCAGTACGTTATGTATCAAAGTTTTAGTGTCTATTCATCCGGCGATTTAGCCCTACATTTAAGGCTAAATGAACCGCAAATTAATTATCATACCGAAGGCTATGTTTGACGTCAAGTCCGACACAGCGCGGGGTAACTGTATAAATTTTCAAACTGCTGCGAATTGTAACTACCGAATTACATCCTTTCATAATGTGCCAGCCTTTGACCGCACTCTGGGAGAATCATGATGCCATAGTACGAATCTACACTTTGAAGTGATTTATTAATATTACACTCCGAAGTTCTCCAAGTAAGTTTCCTTCGTATCATCAGTTAAGTTTTCTCTGTACGTAAGCAGAGTTATTCATTACGCAAGGACGCAGGAATTACTTAGAGATTTGTACTTGAGGACCTTGAGGGCAGTGTGTTCATTATATCAAGATTCGTTTCTATTCAAGGTTATTCTCTTTGACGCTGAAACTGGCTCTAAAATTGGGTGATGTATATCCTTTAATATCGACCGCGAGAATGACGCATTGTAGTCTTTGAAAAAAGTGTATCGTCCAGTTTGATTTATCTCCGTCTGACCATTGTCGTTAACCATTTGGTTCGAGTTTAGAACAACTGACGAACTAATGTTCTAAATGTGCGCGCACTGACATTGCTACTTGTACTTATGAAGTCGTTCAACGCACAAACAAGTAGCTGGTAAAAAGACAGCACTGAAATCAAGCATTGAACTCGAAGCGCTAATTCATTATGAATACCTCGGCATCTTCAACATTAACAATATTCCAATAAATATGTATGATACATATCTACAACCGCAGTTCAAAATATATGAACTTCATATATTCATTGTATCTGATTACAATAAATGTAGAACAGTTCTATGATTTTCAACAGTTTAGCTGTCAAAACTCATTTCGATAACTAAAACAACACCGCTACAGATGTAAAGCTGAGAAATTATTTATTCATGCAGACAATTGTTTGGAAAAGAGGGTATTCAAGTCAGTTGTATCTTGATCAACAGCTTTAACTTTAATTTTAATTATCAAACATATGAGGTTGCTGGAGTAACATCTTTTTAATTTCCCCTTGTTTGGCGACTTGTTTTCATTTCTGCGGCATATCATAATAAAAAGGTATTATTTCTGTGAATTATAGACATATCTAGTTTCCCGCTCGTCAGACATGAAGTGTGGGGAAAAAATACAGAAGGCCGTGAAAAACGAGAAAAATTGAATTTTCTAGTAGGTGAATTCTAGCTCAGGTAAGCGACTCAAACTATTTTAGTTTAATCCTTTTGATAACAGGAAAAATCATGTTTCAATGTATGAATTTTCCAGCTGTAATCAAGGTTTTCGCAAATTATTTAGCATCACATTTACAAACATTCATTTTCAATATCTCTGCCGCCGAGAAAGCAAAGGAAATTTTAAGGTCTTTTGTATGAATACCTTTTTTCTAATATTTTGCCGCTTTTTTTCCTGCTTGGCAGATGGTGCCAGTAAGGACGGTTTTTTCAGTTGTTTTTCAATTGACGACGGGTCGTTAACTTGAAATGCTGGGTTAACTTTTTAAGGTTCATTTGGGACTATGAGGCACGTTTGAGATCGTCCGTTCCTGGCAAAATTTTGCCGTTTATTTTATACTGTCTAATGAGCACTAATCATTCATGCTTACGTTTTTGGCGCCGTCGATACCCATAGTCAATGATAATTATTTTTGAATTATTTTTGAAAGACGAGAAGAGTTTCACAAAGTGAAGGGCTTTAAATTTTAGTTGGTTGTCTGTCAGTAAAATTGCTTTAGGTTACCTAAGGTTACGACACCCATTTTGGATCGAACCAAAAATGTCCACGAGATTTGACACATTAGCGACTCTAAACCTTATTTAAAGGGCCGACCATTTAACTGTTGAGGGGGGGGTTGGGGGTGATTTCTGGTCATCAAGACATGTTTTTTCCTAGCATTCTGCTGTGCAGGAAATTTTTTTCCGTTCTGAATGCTCTTTTTTTCTGTTACATGTGGGCTGCATGCAATTTTTTTCTTCCAACAAGCGCTTGCAGGAAATTTTCTTTCAAAACCACCCACCCCCCCTCAAGAGTTAAATGGTCGGCCCCTAATGAAAATATTATCTTTGAAAACTAACATCAGTTAAATTCAGCCGCTTTCCGATATTGGAGGAGATGTTTGGTGTGTGAAACTTAAAAATGACCAGAAATTTCATTATCTTAGGCTGCTGTCTTCCATTTTTGTGCTTCTTAGAGGATCGTAGCCTTTGAATCCACAGAATTTTGAAAAAGAAAACAAAACTGAATTAAATCACCCTCAATGTGACGAAATAGAGAAGAATCCCAACAATCGCTTTAAGGTGCACTTTTTTCAGTCGCACGATTCAAGTTCTTGCATACGAGAGACAATAAATTTTCTCAACTTACATGCCTAATCATGCTTGTGTTTACAGTTCATCATGCGATAATCATGTGCTTCCAATACCGTGGTTTTTAAATCTAAAAGTTAAACTCAGAAGACTCGCGATTATAAATTGTGCAGAATGTGATCTTTTAGTTTGAACAGCAGTAAACATGTGAGAAGAGCAATCGTTTAACAGAAGACGCCGTACTTGTTCCGGCGTGTTTTTAGTCTGTTAATTCTTCCATATTTGTTGTTTTTGCTCGGGTGAAAGGGTTATTTGGCTGTTTTTCTGGTCGTTAATCCAAACAATCTATATTAAGCACCTTCACATAAAGAGACGCCAGAGACTCAAATATACACATATAAATTTTGTAAATTCAGAAATGGAGTGGACTGTCAACTCAACATCCGTTTTTTTCCGATCTTCTGGTATCGGTCGTCGGAAAGGCGGTCGGCGCTCGTCCATTTTGAGTCAACGTTGGTTTTTGCTTTCTCTTGTAGGGAAAGGGAAACAATTTAGGATCATTCCACGGCTAACATCTTGTGTAGATTTCCCTCGGTGTCAGGAGATACTGTAAACTGCTAACTTAATTGATCAACTTATTCCCTAAAGCCATCAAACTAAACGTAAAATTTGCACGGACCCCTTTACTTGCGGAAGTGACCAAAAGGTAGCTTATCCTGTAATCATTAAATAAACGTGACCCTTTTTTTATCCTACAATGGTGCGTTTCGTTGAAAAGAACTGATTGAGGTTTTGATGTCTTTCTCTTTAAAAACTCTACTTGCCGAAGGCTCGGCGAACATATTTGTTGCTTCTAGTTAAGGAATGAAGAAAAATAGTCGAAATCAGGGGTAGGTAATGCCACTTATGTTCACGAAGGCAGGTCTAAACCCAAGCAATAACGATGACATAATTGTGGGACAGGAGAAGAAAATTCCGTTTGCCAAAACTAGGATTCCATTCCTCAGTGATCCTCATTTTCCAGCAGTTTTTTCCCATCAAGTGACATTCGATCTATTTCATAAGCCCAGCTGTTTGAAACCGTTCTTAATCGACGTCAGTATGCTTGCCCTTCTTTGCTTTCATGAACATAAAGGACATCGAACAAGACAATAGAAAAATCAAGTTGAAGCTAAACACTTCACTTAAACGGAACCTCCAAAGAGGTCTTCCCATTGGTCGCCTTGGACACCGTTTACTTACCAAATGAATTGCATTTGCCGGGATTACATTATTTATAAATTATTCATCCATGCACTACAACGGTATGGAATTGATGACCAAGTACTGTTGCGAATTTGTTTTCAGAATACATCGATGACGCAGTTATGGACGTCTTGAGTTACCAAGAGCTGGAGTCTTTGAGATAGCAAAACGAAGCCCAGTGCTGGCCGAGAAGAAATGCAATTCAGAGCATTGAAAGAACGGTATAGCAACTACAGCAAATTATGGCTTCAGGCTTTGTTTATTTTGTCCTTACTAACTACAAGATCAGAGGCCGGTGAAATCACCATGGGGTTTAGTGTTGCGGCGAGTAATTCTGCCGCGGTGGCGCTTACATCATCAAAAGACTTCGCTTCTGCTTTTCTGCTGGCTGTCGAAGCAGTCAACAATGATTCATCATTGCTACCCGAGCATCAAGTAACCTACGTGAGGAACGATACTCAGTGCAACGATGATATTTCAATCAAGGCCATGCTGTATCAGCTGGAGAAAGGTGTTCACGTTATCATAGGACCTGGATGTACCTGCGCGACGGAGGCGAAGTTGGCATCGGCCGCGAATGTCCCTATGATTTCGTATGTAAGTACACTAGAATGATGAAATATAGTTCCTAAGCTTGAAATTGCTAACATAGTTGATATTCAACTTTGGCTCCAAACAGCTGCTGTCACCTGTGCTACCACCATAACGAAAGAGCTTCAACTGTCGATATGATCAATGTTTTTAGGAAAAATTTTGAGGTAGAATTTAACCCGGTAGAGAACTTCTCGTTCATGATATCCGGATTGCTCACAATCTCAAGTGCCAGATTTGACCACGGGGTAGAATTTTATTTGGGACAATCTTAACACAGCAACACCCTAACAATGAAATATTCTTCACCTTCTTGAGGGCTGTGACTCTTCTCACAATGAAGTAATGAAGTTTTATTTTTTTGCAATAACATACAGGATTACTTTTGTTTTCTTGACCGAATAGACGCCCAAGGGAGGTTGTAACGTAACCGCTGTTTTTAATTTGAAAAGTAGTTTTCTGGGAATATTGTTACTGACCGCAAGATCGCACAGAATACGGACAAACATACTTCATCAATTGTGTACACTTCATGCTTTGAGAAATTCTTTGTTATGAGGACAGCTTTTGGACGGTCTGTCCATTTACAACAAACGCTGCTCAAGCTTGTAATTTTCATGTATTTTTAAAGTACTTATTGCGCCTTTGTCCGGGCGTTAATGGCAGTAAATAGAGCACGAGAAATGAGCCACGGAGGTTGGTTTCAAAAGTGTAGACTTGTGTAAACAAACGTCAGCTCAGAATTCGACAAGAACCGTGACGAAGTTGTGTACGGATTGCAAACTTTGTTTTATATTTGCATTTTCTTAGCGACTTTAAGGCTTTCTGATTTTAAGAATAGTTTAATCTGGACTGTTAAGAGATCTTGGAAGGCGAAAACCTTGGAATGGTATTAATGAAACGTTGCAATAACAAAGCCTACAAACAGTAGGCTAATAAACGCATACATTTGGTAGATAAATCCTTTTCATTATCACCTTCATTATTTACCCGAAAGTTCGTCGCGATTTGGAAAACGTTTAGCGAAACATTAACCGCCGAAAAACCCCAATCTACCGCCGACATCTTTCCTGAGTAGCAATTAATAAATAATACTATTTTGTTCTGATGTACTATATTTTCGCTTTTTAAGTTTCGACTAAATGTTTGGAATTCACACCAAACTGCCAAGGAAATTGTCTGCCTGAAAATACGTTTCGCTGATATTGCGATGACTTGGTAGTTTCAAATGCAGTTTTGTTTAGAAACCAGATATGAAAAATGTCCGCATATATGAAGACCATTATATTCTGTAGCACATTATATTCGGTAAAAGTCTGTTTTGATATCTATTCTACGTACCTATCTGTTTTCACCGTGTTCTACTTGTTGGCACGTCAAAATATCACTTATCTATATTAAAAACAGTATTCTGACAGGCACAACAACTGCTAGCCAAAAACAGAGTGACAGAAATGAGAAATCCATTCTCCCCTGAGTTATACTTTTAAAAGCCATATCTTATATTACGCTACATCTATTAATTTTAGATAAAAAAATCTTAATTATTTGAGCGTCTTTTTTTCTCGTGCTACTGAGCACAAACTCTTGTTTTTTTTTTTTTTTCAGAATTGTTATTTGAATAAAAAGCCCCTCGTAAATGAAATTCGATTAGTTCTCGATCGTCAAAGGTGAAACAATGCTATATTTTGGGCGAAAGAGTAAAGTTGAATTATCTTTGCCAGAAACACACATTGCAAAGAATTAGATTAACCACCAAGATTACTTTTGTGTTATTACCTAGAAACGGCTTGAAACGGGTAAAAAGATAAGAGCCACAAATTTCACAAATCTTAATTTCCGGAGCGATTTCTGATCAGAAAGAAATGGTACTATGACCTGGATCGACTGCTGTAGACTAGGTCATAATATTGCCTACAGATATCACAACACTGCTTTAAACTAACCAAAAAGTGAAAGAAAAAAAAAGAAACACACGGCAGTAAATAAGCTAAAAGATTTCAAAAACAGTTTCTGATCATCGAGAAAAATGAAGATTTTCCAACAGTTTCACAGATTGACGCTTTAATGATCATATTGATACCTAACATCCTTTTTATGCCACAACGCCGCTTTAAAGGCAACCTGCGAGGTGTCCATTTTACGGCTTTAAGATACTCGCAAAATTGACTGAAATAAAAATTGTCAATGTTCCCTCGTTGTCGATTTTCTTCAGATTCATTCTCAGCTATAGCTTGCTCTAGTTTGAGAAATATTTCATTTTTCCGTTAACAGCAATTTGCTTCACGTCTTAAACTTTCCATTTAATGACAAGAAACTGCGCAAAGTCGAATCAAATAGTTTTTGTAATAATACGAAATAATTAATTTAAAGCTTGAATGCCAAACTGCAAGTGAGACGACTTAACTTTGTGTAATGTGTCCTAAACGTCAAAAATCGTTTCCAAAGCGGTGGCATCGGACTAATTTTGGGTGTAAATGAATGTCAGGGTACACTGAGGGAAATTTTGTATTCCATTTGCTAAGAGAGGAGTTAAACAAAAATTGACGTTCAATTTACAAATTGCATACTGTCTTATTACCAATCACACTATCGGTTGGAAAGATCAGAAACAGTTGGCATTTCCCGGCGGAAATAATTCATCCCCGACAATTTCATGTTCCAGATTTTGACGTGTCCGGTAATTTGGTTTGAGAACAAAACTCGGAATTTCGACAACGCGTGGTGTTCATATTTAGCAGAAATTGTTTTCCGACGTTTATGAATCATGATATGCAAAAAAGGTTCAAACAAAAGAGCAAAAGGCTTTAATGATTAATATGTAGTAACTGTACGTGTCCAGAAGGTTCTGTTTGCATTTTTAAGGAAGAACTTGTTATGATCTCCTCAAAACCTGTCCAATTGTACAAGGTTTATTGTCAATAAGGTAAATTGTCATGTGTTTCTATAAAGAGTTTGGTGTAGTTATGGACAATGCTATCGACGACATGGCATTATCATCAAACTGTTTTTTGTTTTGTTTTGCCTTTTTTTCTTTCCTGTTCGGTATAGAGTTCGAGGATGATGCCCTTCATATGCTATTTATTTTTCCCTCTGTTTGCCAATGAAATGGCCGATATTGACCAGTTTAATGTTGTGTCGACTTTACGGAAAAAGACCTTCTATGAAAATACCGCGCGTTAATTTTACATTCAGGATCGTGAAAGAATAATTATCATACCTTGAATTTTAAATTTTGAAGGGAAAATTCATTGGAAAGTAAACATTTTCCACAATATTATGATCTCTTAATCGCCCAGTGATTGACAAATATATTTGCCTCAACTGGGCAAGAACTAAGGATCTCTTTCAAAACAGGATATTGATTAATGTTTGATAGCGCCGGGTGCTAAGTATACCAATAAACTTGCAACGGTGAGCGTAAAGAGGAAATAACAGTCAAATTTTATAGTTATGGAGACAGGTTGCGTCAATTGTTTTCTTTTTATTTTGAAAGGAAAAGGAAAAACACAACAACGGACAAATTTGATTTAAATTGAATTTTTCAGTAACCTTACGTTTAGCATATATTTTTTAAAATATATGCTAAACGTTTGCATAGTCTAACTCTCTGATTAAGGATTTTAAAGTTAGCACGTTCGATGGTATATTTTCTATCTTAAAGTCAGCAGCTTATGGAAATAACTCCATTGTTTAGGTCCTTTTCGTAAACGAAAAAAAAAATCAAGATATTTCTATTTCATAAAAGGGGAGAGTGGGAACGTAGAGAAAAATCCTAAAGAGGACCTTCTATTTTATTGAAAAGGTCCTCAGACATAGAAAATTGAATCGTGTTTTTGATTATGGCAACCTTTTAGCTGATAACCAAGTCTATACGTTCACCTTTGCGGGAATGTTATTGCAACTAAAGAAGTGATTTAGAAACGGCCCTCGCCGAGATTGAAATTTTTAAAAACCTTGAGGGAATTAAGTCAATTGGTAATCCGCCTGACTATAATTTCCTTTTTTTTTTCGCAATTTCCCGCTGGTGTATTCTTAGTCAATGTTGTCAATCGTCTTATGCGAACACTTGACAGTTTACTTCTAGTTCAATCAAATTTGTGTGACGATTCCTTGTTTGTTTGCAGTCCGCTGGATTTCGTGAAAGTGTAATGGCGGAATATAAGGCGTGTTTTAGTTGAAGTTAGGATTGAGCGTGGATCTTGTATTGCATTATAAACAGCGGCGTTTTACAGTTCCTCAAAGTTAAAATATGAACAAGGTGCCGCTAATCCGTTCGTTTAAACATTGCGAAGGTAAATTCTTAGGGATTATGATCGCTTTAATGCGTATAATGGGTGGCATCGTAAAGTCACGTAGAACCTAAATGGGATCATAACTGACATTCACTAGAAACTTATGTGTGGTAATGGATTTGGAATCTAACGAACAGGCGACGTTTACGAAATGTATTTTTGTGTTTGCGATATTTAGACAGGCTGGCCCAGTTCAGCTCGGGGCCTGTATAAACAACAAGGCCAGACCACAACACTGAGAGTTACATTCCGTATTCTTTGCGATAAGTATGGGAGTTATTTAACGTCCTTTGCTAACCAGCAACAGAGAAGATGCAGAAGACGGGGCCTACGGTTTTTCGTCGCTGTCTAACCATTTTCGGATTTCACAGCACACGCTGCACGTTCTCCTTAGTTATTTTAAGACCTTGAGTATTGGTCCAGTCTAGGACTTTAACAATTGACCTCTCTCACGGCAGTATCGCGCTCTGCAACATGAGCTAACCAGGCGGCGGTAAAAAGGGAAATATAAATAACTACACGAAAGGGCAATTGCACAACTTGAGTGGAAATGACAAATACAGAACGTTCAGCGATCTAGATTAGTTTGAGCGGAAATTTAAAAATTGATCAAATAATCCTCGACACATCTTTTGTGTTGTGAGAGAGATGCGCATGGTAAATCATCGCGCGACGATTTTTTAAATCTCGCCTACGTTTCGTGGTGATTTCGTGACCGATTTGTTAGCGCGTCGAACTTTAGAGTTGTCTTGATTAGTAAATGATTAAGGGTAGTGGTGTTGTGTTCTTGGGAAAATTCATTTATTTCTGTAATTCCTCTGAAAAAAAAAAACTGCATTAGCGAAGCTAGATAGATAAACATTTCTAAAAATTTTGATCAAGTATCGACTGTTCCTAGTCGCGTCCTGTTACTCAAAACTGAAACGCGATAAACTCCAGCAATTATTACCCTTAAGTAGCGATGGTTGATCATGAAGTTTCTTCCTCAGCCCCGGTAGCTGTCGCTGATGGGTCTGTAATTATCGGCTCAGTAGAATACTGATCAGTTCAGACCAACCGTCGAAAGGAAATTAGCTACCAAAAGAGTAGCACTTTGGAGCCATAGGCATTCTTTACACCGCGCGCCCACGCGTAAGATGGCCTACGCTCTCGGAAGCTATCCAAGTTTCGATAGCATACGTCGTCTTGGAGTATTGCAAACTTACCGGGATAGGGCCCGATAGGATGCTGGTCTCTTGTTGGTTACTAGTCTTCCTCCCTCTCCCTTTCAGCATTCTCTGGATCCCCCCTAACGAGTGCCTGCTATCCATTTGATACTCCTCAATATCGTTATCCTGAATAGAAAGAGCTCGAGGGACCGAAAGATGTCTCTTGTTTAGGAGCATAGCGCAATGATCCTGGTCAAAGTTCGAAACAATAAAGCCCGATTGGGAATTCAACGCGCTTGCGAACCTTTAGGCCACTATGTACACCAAAGATGAACTTAAACTTGTAAATAATTCATTTGCTGCCTTCTCAACAGGTGTGCATCGACGAAAAACTCTCTGATAAAGAACTGTTTCCTACATTCGCTCGGACAGTGCCACCAATCAGCAGACTTTCTCCGCCTCTGCTCGTACTAATGGAGCATTTTAAATGGACTCGCGTTGGAATAATTGCTCAAACAAATCAACGGTGGTCTCATTGGAGTGCATTAGAAAGCGACCTGAGAAACGGGGGCGTGGTAATTGGCATCACTCGGGCCCTGACGTTGGGTGTCCATTTTAACGTGTCCAGTTTATTACCCGAATTCGAAAAACTTCTTCAGAAAGTGGCGGAAGAGTCTCGAAGTAAGCTATACAAGTATTGATAAATTGAAAAGTGCATTTGTTTCTGAAATGTTTTGACCCCTAGTGGATCATTCAGCAAACAACACAAGTAAACATGAATCCTCTGTAAACATCCTCTTGCGCGAACCCTAAAAAGCTCCAGCAGTAAAAGGTCGTAAGACTTAAATTCATTAATTAACGGATAGCTTATATTGACGTACTTCATTCTGCTCCACAGTCGTCATTCTAGCCATGGATTACGCTTATGCAACCCAGGCATTGAATTACGCCGAAAAAATTGGTTTAAATGACGGTCGCTTTGCGTTCATCATGTTTGAGCTGGATTTAGACCTCACTGGGAATAAGAGTTACAACCTTTCCAAAACATGGGGAAGTAATTCGAAAAACACAACAGGGGCAGTCTTCCAGTCAGCTTTACTAATTTCTGTGAACAACAACGTAAGCAAGGAATACTTGGCTTTCGTAGACGATGTGAAAAATAGGAGTTCAGGATCCCCATTTTACAGCCCTGTGTCTTCAGGGCACATGGTGAGTGTACGATGTCGATTTTTGTTATTCACTCTCTCACTCATTCACTCACTCACTCACTCACTCACTCACTCACTCACTCGCCCGCCCGTACGCCCGCCCGCAGGCCCGCAGGCCCGCAGGCCCTCAGGCCCGCAGACCCGCAGGCCCGCAGGCCGGCAGGCCCGCAGGCCCGCAGGCCCGTAGGCCTGCAGGCCGGCAGGCCCGCAGGCCCGCCCGCTCCCTTACTCACTCACTCATTCATTTCTTCAAGTTATTATTCAAAGTGATCAACACAACAATGATTTCCAGGATTGTCCTAGTATTAGCTCAATTATCCACTTATAGTCATGTTTACTTTAAACAATCGTAGCCTATTGGTAATAGATAAAACATATGGATATATTCACAGTACAGCTGCATCTGTTGCACGAATTTCCCTTACAGTTTAATTACGAGCTTAGTGGCCATTTACCATCGTGGCAGTTTATTTGGGAGACGCAATCTCATTCCTATCGAGGTGTCAGGCGTAGAATTTCAAAGTATACCATAATTACACAACATTTATACTGCATTTAGCTTTCTGATCAGACGAGACCGTCCTTTCATAGGAGTTTCGTTTAACATCTTTCAACTTCGTTCACAGCCTCCTATACAAGCAGCTTACCTGTACGACGCGGTTTTTCAGTACGCAGTTGCCTTAAATAAAACTTTAAACAGTGGAGGGATTTCAGATGGCCAGAAAATTGTTCAGGAGATGCTGGGACAACACTTCAAAAGTAAGAGCGCCGGGGAAACATCACAAAGATCAAGGAAGTTTGACATAGAAATGCAAGAGACGTATTGTAGCTGCGCGATAAGTGTACTGGCTGGGATACTTAGTACCCTGTATATGGGGCCAGTCGTTAATGATCGTCAGGCGGTAGGAAGAGGAATAAGCCATCGCGTCGCCTACAGAGTATATAGGGGAGGACTATAGAAAAGGGAGGGTCACGTAATATTATATTGATAGGACCAAAGTCCTCCGACTCTCCCCCACCCCCTTCCCCCCCCCAGGCGAAACCAATGACCAGTTACTAAGTCTAGGCTAATCCCTTTCAATTTGTCCCCAGACTCTTCTCGGATACTTTTGTGGAGAGTGAAAAGAAGTGCATGGGTTTTCCACATAAGCAAGCTGCCGTTAACCCCGTCACTCTCAATATCTCTTTAGTAATTCTCCCTACTGTGTGCCAAACAATTCTTATGATTTTAGTTCGGAGAATCTGGTATTGGATCAACTAATTGTTCCTGTAATTGAAATTTATCTTTATTCTAATCACTTGCATGTCCCATTGATATTGTATTGGCATTGGGGGGAGAAATTCAGTCCTGGTCACTCATGGGATCATGGGAGTTGATGGGGTAGGCTATTTCTGGATCATCCGGGGTTTCATGAGCAAAATAATTTCAGCGTTGTAAATTATGGAAGTGGGTGTCGCTAACTTGAACGACGAATGCCCTCTTTTCGCCATCCTTGTCCGGCGAGAGAAGATAATTGTATCGCATTGTCTCTCGGCAGAGAAAACTGATCTTTTATTTTTCATCGGACATGCTTAAACTGAATAGTGATTAACTTTCTTCAAGGTATTCTTGGCTATGATCGTTACATCAACAAAAACGGCGATGCAGATTTTAGCGTGGTGTTGATGGATTATCGAGAAACCAATAACGGTAAGCTTCGGAACTGAGATTGCCTAACTTTTTAATCAACCACAGAATCCCTTCCATTTGCTTGTGTTTCTCCTACAAAAGAACCCCTGTTCGATGCAGCATTAAAAAAGAAAAGAATACCAACATATTTACTGAATACCTAGCTAAGCGTTTATTTTTGCTTAGGAATGTTCCAGCTGGTCGGAGAATTTGTTGTTGACAAGAAAGGAGGGCACAAACTTCTTTTGAACAACGACTCGGTTGTTTGGCCAAATAATGGTTCTGTACCTACATCTGATGTACTGCAATGCAGGTCATGTGACGCCAGGTGCTATAACGGTAAGGCTTATAACAGTTGATAGGCCATTTTTAGGACACCCAAAAACCTTTGTCTTAAAACAAGAATAAGAGCGATGCTTATCAAACTCATTTTCACAAGAAAGGTTTAGCACTTTGCCTCAACTTGAAGATGAGGTTGTTCAGATCTCGGAAATGGCTCATTGAATCAGTTCTGGTTTGATTTATTTCATCATGAAGTGTTTAAACTTTGTACATTAAAAGTTGCTGTTTCGTTTAATATGATTAAAAAGTATTCAGCTGTATATTTGTGTTCTCTTCCTGCGAGTTACCTGGCTGGCTGGCAGACTGGCAGTCTTTTTCTGTCTAATAATAATAATAATAATAACAATCTTTTATTAGGAAACTCCATCACAATAGTGGTTTACATAGAGGTCCTAAATACTAAAAATACAATTAAAATATAGAAATTTAAGCTAAAATCGTGCTGCTTTGTTTTGCAGAATTTGCAATTCCTTCATTAGTGTGACATTGTCCTTGTCACCCCAGACTAAATCAGCATAATCAAAAATAGGCAACACTAAGCTATTATAAAAAAGTAACCGAGCATTATAAGGTAAATAATACTTAATCCTACGTAGAAGACCGAGGTTCTTATTAACCTTACATGAAATATACTCAACATGGTCGGACCATGTAAAAGTTGAGGACAACATAACTCCCAAATATTTAAAACTAGATACAGAATTTATATCAGTGTCAAAAATAGATAATGAGAAAGAGGAAATACCAACGAGTTTCCTATTACTACCTATAATCATGGATTTAGTCTTAGTAAGATTTAAAGTTAGCTTATTTCCAAAACATCTGTAAGTCTGTAAGTCTGTAAGTCGTCTTTTACAATATGTTTTTTTGCTTTGCGTTATGTTCTGCTTGATAATACCTGCATTTTTTTTATCCTTTCGTCTATTTATCAAACCATCCATTCATCGAAATAACTCTGAAACTCTGTCTCGCTCATAAATTTTCACCTTTATCGAGAAATACTCGCAGTGACGAAAGTGGCGGATTTGAGGGAACTTCGTCAAAGCAAATAAATGTTCATGGAATTGACGATTCCGGCGAATTTTAGTCAAATTAGTCAAAGCAAAATCAGCTCGGAGGATTTGACCATTTCGACGAATTTTCGCCATTTTCTTTACTGCATGTATATCTGGACATGGCTCATAATTTTAGGCCGGGTTTTGGGCGAAATGTTTTAGGAATCAATCGGCTGCGTGGCTTGACAACCTGGCCAAGGTTGACCTCACAGTTGTTCGAAGATGGACAACTCCGCCTATCCGTTGGATAAACCTCTATCTAGTAGATAGTGCGGTACATTTTGTCACCTTTTATCCTCTGAGTAGTGGTTTATCCGTTGAATATCGTTATCCATCCGACCCGTTAAACAATTGGGCCCTGGTAAGTCAAATTGTAAATAAAGGTTGAAACAACAGTTCGTCGGTCATGATTATATATTGGGCAAAGAAATTCTTGTCTACACCGTTTACAATCCTCTATTTCTAAGCAGTATGGGTCGGGTCCAATGTAAATTTCAATCGTAAATCTTGTGTTTATTTGCCTGCTTGATGAAAATCCTCAGAATCCTAATTCACTGATTTCATTTTCCAGTCTTAAACGTGTTTCACTCGTTTTTAAGTCATTCTTTTTTACAGTCAGATTATTTGCGGTGTATACTTCATGTGTATACTTCATTAATTTGCTTTTTGGCCGTAGACGATACGTTGTTTATGTTTAGTTCAGAATTGTTCAGTTTAAGCTATATTTTGAAATGATCATATAAATTATACTGCATATGGCATCTATTGTCCAAAATTTGAAAAAAATTTGGAAATTATGCATAGGCCCACAAGACCATTAATTAAATTTTGTCGAGGGTAAAGAACAATTTTAGGTTCTAATCGGGCTTAAGGAAAATTAATTCTATTGATTGCATATTGTTTCGGAAAAAATCCAATTTATAAAAAATGAAATTTTGCAACGGATTCCATATTATGTTATTCAATCAACATAGCATCTCTAAATTTCAATGACAATGAATTTTTTTCCTTCCCGAGAAATTATATCGCGAAGAACGCATCCAGCTGAGAACAAAGGAAGCCGAACCTTCCGAGGAATAATTTTTAGCGTTTTCCATATCTGGCATGAAAAGTTCTTTTATTTGCCCCAAATTTATTTCTTGTTACCTCTCCTGGTAATGATCAATTTTGCAAATGTAATGGTAGTCATCACCGCTGTAAAAAAATAATGTATCTGATGTTTTCACAGAATAGCCCTTATAATTCAAAGTCATAATATTCCGGCCTGGTGATAATTGCATATCAGCACGAAATTTGCTTTTACCAAGCTAACTCGCAAACCCCCCAGTCACGATAAGTGAATATTACAGGTGTTTTTCTTTCAAATTACTTCGAAGTGGAAAATATTACCTATAACATAGGGGGTAGAATCCTGTCAATGCGAAGCAAGAGATTTCATTATGAAATTCCGTGCGATAGGAAATGAACTGTGTGCGATTGTTAATGACTTCGCACACACTTCACTTCATTTTCTACTTAATTGAACGTGGTCTTTGCAAAATCCCTCTTCGAACATGAACAGTTCATTGAATTTCAGAGCACATTTTCTGCTGATTTTCGTTTCAAAATTTCTTATTGGGTATTCCTGTCCTGGTCCATCCACAGAAGGTAATTTAACGATCGGCCTGATTCTTCCTTACTCGACACCAATTGGCGGTCGCGGCCTCTACGGGAAATTCTACGCGTCTGCTATCACCATCGCTGTGGACAACATCAACAAAGATCCTAATCTTCTGCCCGGAATTCGCCTCAGATTCGTATGGGATGACTCAGAATGCTTGGAAGAGAAGTCAATAAATGCACTTATCAGTCAATTCGAGAGAAAAGTGGACGCTTTCATTGGATTCGGTTGCGATTGTCACACGCAAGCAAGAATGGCTGCGGCCTTAAATTTGCCTGTTATCTCTCATGTAAGTATTTATTCCTTTCTGTTGTTGGTTTCGTAAGCAATGAATTCATTTAAAAAGTTTTCAGACGCAAATATTTGCGAAACAAAATAAATGAGTAAGAGAACCGTACTTATTTATTAGAGTTCATCCTACTTCAGTCACGGATCATTTTTTATTTGTTTAATTTGTAACTTTTGTATCATTTGTACCTATGTCGTAAGCATGAATTGAAAGACTACTGCGTTGCGTGAAAATTCTGCGAGAGGTTTCTTTAGCATTGGCTAAAGAACTAACTTTTTCCGCTCTAGACGAGATAATATTTTTTTCTGGAAAAAACTTTTTGCAATTTTTTGCAGAACGTACACGTAGAAAAAAGAAAACGTTTTAGCAAACTGTTTTTGTGATTTGTAAGACAGCTATTAGACGAAAGATTCTTATATGGATATTTTCAGTGGTACGGTCTCTAGGAATACGAATTGACATTTGAAGGCCGTCTATGGCCCCAAAACCAGAAAAAACACGGGTCCGGACCAATTTTTTGGGTCACGCGTTGCCATTTTGTTTACAAGAATTACCGTATTTACTCGAATAAACGCCGCACCCCCGATGCAGCGCTTATTAGAGGAATTCCGTATAACCAGGAAAAACACTAGAAAACAATTTTAACACAGCATCGGCAGTTTATATTCTTTAAATTTGATGTTCTTTAGTTCAAAGTGACTATATTTCTCTGCTCGGGTTATGAAACGCTCGGGGTTTTTTCACCGTACGAATTTCTCTCGTAATTGTAGATTTCTAATCAGAGAATGTTTAGAAATACATTTGATGATAAAAATTAACGGTAAAAAACTACGACGTTTCGAAGTCTGCATGACCTCATTATCAAGTAAAATGTTAAAACTGATGTAAAATTGTAGCTCAGAGATTATATACAAATAAAATGTGATAACTTCATTAGAATAATGTAGTTTTTTACCGTTAATTTTTATCATCAAATGTATTTCTAAACATTCTCTGATTAGAAATCTA